GTATCAAAACGCATGGTTAATAGTATATCCTAACAATCTCCCACTTAGACTCATAACCATGCACCTACAACTCTAACACCCATTCCTTCAACATGTCTATCAAAAGACTTTTGCGGTAAAGCTTTTGTGAAAGGGTCTGCAAGGTTGTTCTCTTATGCAATCTTCGCCACCATCACATCCCCTCTCTGTACTATGTCTCGAATCAAATGGTATTTTCGCTCAATGTGTTTTGCCTTATTATGACTTCGTGGTTCCTTTGAATTTGCAACCGCTCCACTATTATCACAAAACATTGTAAGTGGCATTTCTATTGCAGGAACAACTGCCAAGTCTTTTAGAAAGTTTCTGAGCTACACTGCCTCCTTAGCTGCTTCAGAAACTGCTACATATTCGGCTTCCATGGTAGAATCAGCAACACAGGTTTGCTTGATACTTCTCCAAGCAATGGCTCCACCTCCCAAAGTAAACACATTTCCTGAGGTCGACTTTCTAGAGTCTATATCAGACTGGAAATCTGAGTCTGTGTACCCTATGGGCACCAACTCATCTGAATGATAGACTAGCATGTAATCCCTAGTCTTTTTCAGGTACTTTATTATATGCTTAGCTGTTGTCCAATGTTCTCGTCCAGGATTAGACTAATATCTGCTAACCATGCCTACGGCAAAACAAATGTCATGTCTAGTGCATAACATGGCATACATGAGACTTCCTACCGCTGATGCATAAGGAATTGTCTTTATGCTTTCTGTTTCCTCATATGTCATAGGACATTCATCCTTAGATAAAGAAATTCCATGTCTAAAAGGAAGAAAACCTTTCTTGGAATCGTTTAGAGAATATGTTTTTATCCAATTTACCAGGCATATTGACCCATCTCAGAAGCTCACCTTTTAATAAATCAAAATGATAAATAATATATACATATCATAATCGTTATATCAAGATTAAGAATATAAGTACATTTAATAGTTTAGAGAATATGTTTTTATGAATCAGTCTAAAACAACTATCTCTGCTTGGTCCCATTCAATACATACCAAATGCACTAGCACGAGAAGTTAGAACAATGTCATTCTCATAATCAAGATAAATTACATTTAATCTCGTGCTACAATCTCTCTGATGATTTTGTCCAAATTTTCATCTATGATTGTGAACTATAAATTTTAACTTATAAGAACTGATGATTTAATCTTCTGTGTATAAGCTTAAACTCTATACACCAAATCATCTACTATATAAGTTAAGGACACATATATTAATACTGTATCAAAACGCATGGTTAATAGTATATCCTAACAATCTTTTCATAGCTCTTATATAAGTTCTAATAAGCAAGGCCGTGCATGTAGATCACTAGTATACTTTAACCATATCAAACAATACCAAAACTTCCATAACTTAAATAAACAAGTCTAACCAATGATGCCACCCTACGAGAAAAATCACAAGATCAGTACACACGATTCACCACTAGGAATTCACCCAAAGAAGCAAAAATATACACGAACGTAAAAAATGAATCATACTCTAAACCATGCCAAGAATGAAGTAGTTGGTCACATAAGAATATACAGAAGTAAGGTCGAATAACGAAAGATACTCCTTCCATAGGGCCTATATAAATAAAATTTCATTCATTTGACTCCATCTCTCAATTTTTCGCCATCCACAATCAACCAGTCTGATCTCCAGCACAACATTACAAACACTCGATTCATCAAACTCCACATACTCCTACCAATAGTCCATTGAAGCTAACATTCTTAATACCGACAAACATCATAACTGCACCAACCATTTACCTTACTCTCAAACTGTCACTAGTATCAAAGTCTCCTTAGAAAACACATTGTAGCCTTAAAAAAATAAAAAAAATATGGCTCTCTCTTTCCATTTTAGCATTACATAACATATATGAGTCACACCTAATATTTAGAGAACTACTTCATAAATCTAAAGTACTTTCCCATCGAGATAAATCAATTAAATCACACTCAATATCAACTCCACGTAATTTTTCAGATACCAAATTTCATGTAATATTCAAAACCATCATATACTTCATACTAACACTTAAGAAATTCTTGTTCACTCCAATAATTTTGTTATACTAAAAGCTCATAACCTCTACTCACTATCAAAAGCCTCTATAACACATCATAACAGTCTGGAAAGTAGTTTCAATTCCTTCGAAATCATCATTAATCATGTAAAACAATAGATCCACACATACAATCATCAATAACTTATCTATCATAGTTCAAACAATCTAGCTTGACATAACGACATAGAATCTTCCACACATCTTTCGTTGTCACCCAAACAAAAACTCGAGCTTTAGAAAAGTAGATAAATATCTACCAAGTTGTACTGAACTAGTTCACATCCCACAGTCATATCTAAACTCATAAGCAAAAATTCAATGAATCCTTCAACTACAAACCAAGGGATCATATGAGAGGTTTTATTCCATCAACTTTTTAAAATTCTTTTCATAATACAATTTCAAATACCTTGAACCCTTCGATAAACTAAACTCTTCTTTCATTCATTGACTCACTAACCAATCTTATCATTTGATGGATGAAAGAGGAAAGAATCGAAGAAACAACAATTTTATAAGTTACCCTATGAGTCCATTATAAAAAAGGCACCAATCTTAACAAAGAGTTCATCAAGGGACTACTTAACCACTGGGCCATTAAAGTCGTCGCTTGGGGCCTCATATTTTTGGGTCCCCTCAATTTTAAAAAAGTACTTACACATATTACTTAAAATTAAAGGTGTATTTTTAAAAAAACACATGTAATAAGAATAACAAAAAAATAAAAATAGCCGTTAGTTTTTGCCACTTTTCTAAGGAAATGAAATATTTTATATTATTATATACCTTATACTCATCTTTTTTTATCCTCTATTATATTATTTTTATTTTCATTGTTGAATTCTCTCCTAAAAAATTGATTTATTGTTGCTTACAAGTCAAAAAAGAACAAAATTTGCTTTTGAGTGTCTTCTTCAAAATCTTAAGAAGTGCAACAAGCAATCATTATATTGAAGGAATGCAAGACTATTTCAATATTATTATATCAACTTATCATAGTCGTGAGTCAGGTTTTATTATTTTAACTTAATTTTATAATTTTTCTTGAACTTTTGTTATTATTGATATTCTTAATAAGTAAGTGTGTGTGTGTGTGTATATATATATATATTATATATATATATATACATTCTCCTTTTAGTTATTATCAAGATAAATAATACAAGTAAAACATAATAATTTAATGAAAATACTCAATCAAATAAAAATACTTTATTTTTTTCGTAATGCTTATATTGCTTATAGAAAAATGTTGACGATTCCTGTAACTATTGCCTCAGATGAAATAAGTTTTTGGAAACTCAAATTGATAAAATTTAATCTAAGATCAACAATGTGAGATTGAATGTATTAGCTATATAATCAATTTAAAAGGAATTACTAAGCTATTTTTCCTTTGAATCATTAAACCGCCCATGATTTGTTCATTTTAGACTCTATTGGCTGATTTTGATCGGCTTTTTAATTGTAAATGTCTTCAATTGTGTTCGTATTGTAATGATTTTGATTGAAGGAATGAAAAGTAACTTTGTGTTAGTCTCATTTGTTTTATAATGTGTTCAAATAACTTGAAGTAAAACAAAATTGTTCCCGAACAGTTTCACAATCAGTTGAACTAATGAGTTCTTGAACAACATGTGTATCTCCTACCAATACCCCTAACAAAATCTGATTCCACTATCAACCAAGAGCGTTTAAAAGGAACAAATAATTGATGATTCATTAGGGAAATAGCATAGTTATGGTACTTGAGGGTGTAACGACCTATTTAGTCGTTTTGAGCAGCAGACTTGATTTCTGGAAAAACTGGCAGAAGCGACGGACCCCACGACGGACCGTCATGGGCACGACGGACCGTCGCAGGGTCTCGTTTCAAAACACTTAGAAAATCTAAAATTGGGTACTGAAAATCGACTCTCTGAACTTCGTGACAGAATGGCAGGACGGACCGTCACAGGCGTGATCGACCGTCATAGATTGTTTAATGGAAATTGACTCTCTGACCCTTGCGACGACCTGCAGGACGGACCGTCGCAGGCACGACGGCCCGTCACAGGTTGCGCAATCCCAGTCTGGGTCGGATTTCTTGATACGTTTTAAGGGACGTTTTTGACTATTCTTGCCTTAATTATAAAGTTAGAGGGTTAAGGATTATAAGTCTAATTACTTGGGGGTTAAAAGAGGTAACCTTAAGTTAATTAGTGGGTTATTATTGCCATCGTTTATTCTTAATTATATATTAATTAGGGTAAAAGAAAGAGGGTTGAATAAAGAAAATTAGAAAGAACAAAGAGAGGGAAAGAGAAACGAATTGAGAGAGGATCGAACGAGAAGAAGGAACGAAAGCCTTGGGAATTAACTTGCTTGATTTTAATTCTTCGGTGGAGGTAGGTTATGGTTTCATGCTATTTGATAGTAAACTCTTAATAGCGAATGATATGTGTTAGTAGTATTGTAAACCTTCTATATGCTTAATTGTATGCTTGCATGAATGATGTGATTATGTAATTGTTAATAAATAAGCATGATGAAGCTATTGAATCCCAAATCTTGAAAAGAAACCCTAATCTACTTTGTTAATGAAGATGCCTTGGTATAGAAGAAGGCTTGATGAATTAAAGTAATGGGATTGATGATGCCTTGGTATAGAGAAGGCTTGATGATTTCCGGAATGATATTAGTGGATCGGAGTGTCACGTT